GTGTCACCCATGTCACCGTGTCACCCGTGTCACCCGTGTGCGGCCTTCATACAAACATCACAAAGTACAGACGACACGATACATTACATCTCATCATAAAGTGCGCAATACAGCCGTCTCTACACGTATGTTCCACGCATGGGACCATCCCCCGCTCACCGCCTCCTCGCTGTCACACGGATTGCGGTTGGTTTCGTCTCCTGTCACTCTGAGATTCGGGGACACAATGCTTATCCAGAGACCCCCCCGCAACAATAGATCTCCCAGCAGCCAGCATCATAGACCCCTCCCTCAATAGTAGACCCCTCCCAGCAGCAGTCAAACACCCCCCAGCAACATAAGACCCTCCCCAGCAACAATAGTACCTTCCCAGCAACAATAGATCCTCTGAAACAAAATCCCCCGCAACAATCATCTGCCAGCAACAATAGATCTCCCAGCAGCCAGCATCAATAGACCCCTCCCTCAATAGTAGATCCCTCCCAGCAGCAGTCAAACACCCCCCAGCAACATAAGACCCTCCCCAGTAACATAAGACCCTCACCAGCAACAATAGATCCTCTGAAACAAAATCCCCCGCAACAATCATCTGCCAGCAACAATAGATCTCCCAGCAGCCAGCATCAATAGACCCCTCCCTCAATAGTAGATCCCTCCCAGCAGCAGTCAAACACCCCCCAGCAACATAAGACCCTCCCCAGTAGCATAAGACCCTCACCAGCAACAATAGATCCTCTGAAACAAAACCCACACCCCCCGCAACAATAAATCCACCCCAGCAACAACAGACCCCTGCCAGCAACAATAGATCTCCCAGCAGCCAGCAGCAATAGACCCCTCCCCTAAATAGTAGATCCCTTTCAGCAGCAATCAACCCCCCCCAGCAACATAAGACCCTCCCCGACAACAATAGACCCCCAGCAACAATAGATCCTCTGCAACAAAATAAACCTCCAGCAACAATAAGTCCACCCCAGCAGCAGCAACAGACCCCTGCCAGCAACAATAGATCTCCCAGTAGCCAGCATCAAGAAACCCCCTCCCTCAATAGTAGATCCCTTCCAGCAGCAATCAGCCCCTCAGCAACAAAGACCCTCCGAGAACAATAGATCCCAGATAAAAAAAATAGATCCTCTGCAACAAAATCCCCCCCCGCAACAATAAATCGTCTGCCAGCAACAATAGATCTCCCAGCAGCCAGCACCCTCCTTCAATAGTAGATCCCTTCCAGTAGCACCAGAAACAACAGACCTCCTAGTCAAACAGTAGACTCCTCTAATGACAGCAGCAGCCAGCAGCAATAGACCCCCTCCCTCAATAGTAGATCCCTTCCAGCAGCAACCAGCCCCCAGCAACATAAGACCCTCCCCAGCAACAAAGACCCAAACAGGAACAATAGATCCCCCATCAAAAATAGATCCTCTGCAACAAAATCCCCCACAACAATAGTTCCTCTGCAACAGTAGATCCCCCAGCAGCCAGCATCAATAGACCCCTCCCTCAATAGTAGATCCCTCCCAGCAGCAGTCAAACACCTACAGCAACATAAGACCCACCCCAGCAACAATAGATCCTCTGAAAAAAAATCCACACCCCTCGGCAACAATAAATCCACTCAGCAACAACAGACCCCTGCCAGCAACAATAGATCTCCCAGCATCAATAGACCCCCCCCCCCCTTCAATAGTAGATCCCTTCCATCAGCAATCAACCACCCCAGCAACTTAAGACCCTCCCCAGCAACAATAGATCCATCCAGCAACGTAAAACCCTCCACAGCAACAATGGATCCCAACAGCAACATACGACCCTCCCCAGCAACAACAGATCCCCACCAGAAACAACAGACCTCTTAGGCAAACAGTAGACTCCTCCAATGACAGTAGATCCCCCAGCAGCCAGCATCAATAGACCCTCCAGCCCATCACCCCTTATTACATACACTGAGCCCGGGTTCACACTGATGCGTCGCGGAATTGGCAGCGGTTTCTGTGCGAATTCTGCACCGCATCGGAATCGCACCCCATTCATGCGAACCGCTGCGGGTGTGTAAACAACACCCCGGAATTGGTTCAAAAAACGCGGTGCGATGCGCAGAATCGGATGGGTGTGAATGCGATGGCATGTGATTCGTACAGGAACCGCACCTCATTCCAAATCACATGCGATTCCTGTGGGGGTGCGAGCGGAGCCGTACATCTTGTATGACTCCAATCACACCCCGCATCCGCTCCCGAGAGATGCAGGACCCTTTTTTGTTGACAGTAGGAACATAACCCTTCCAGTTCATCTCCCAGGAAGTGACGAGGACACAGAAGTTCTGGCAGGATCACCCGGTATTTTCTGTACTTGCTGAGAATGTTCTTAGTGTGACAGAAGGAAAAGTAATGCAGCCGCCCCATCTAAGGACGGGTAAGCTGCGATATATGATGTTTTTGCTCCTCGGTGTGGTGATACTCTCAGTCATGGGTGTCCGGGATCTACAGTACGAAGGTCACATTGTGGATTCCAAAAATAATTGCGAGCTAAAAAATATCATCTTATAATGTCACTTCTTCTGACATCCAACAGTGATCATCAGAGTCCCACCTGAGATCCAGGAGTTCCCAATCAGATGTCCCCACCTAGTGTCCCACAGAATCCCACCTGAGATCCAGGATTGTTCCTCAGAGTCCCACCTGAGATCCAGGAGTTCCCAATCAGATGTCCCCACCTAGTGTCCCACAGAATCCCACCTGAGATCCAGGATTGTTCCTCAGAGTCCCCCCTGAGATCCAGGAGTGTCATTCAGAGTCCCACCTGAGATCCAGGAGTACCCATCAGTGTTCCCCTTGAGATCCATAAGTTCCCATCAGAGTCTCCCGAGATCCAGAAGTGCCCATCAGAGTCCCACCTGAGATCCAGGAGTACCCATCAGAGTCTGTCCTGAGATCCAGGAGTGCCCATGAGAGTCCCACCTTAGATCCAGGAGTTCCCAATCAGATGTCCCAACCTATATCCAGGAGTGTCCCTCAGAGTCCCACCTGAGATCCAGTATTGTTCCTCAGAGACCCCCCTGAGTTCCAGGAGTGCACATCAAAGTCTCCCCTGAGAGCCCCCCCTCCCCCCCCCCCCCCCCCCCCCCCCCCCCCCAAGATCCAGGAATGCCCACAAAGTCTCCACTGAGATCCAAGAGTAACCATCAGTCTCTCCTGAGATCCAGGAGTGTCCCTCAGATTCCCACCTGAAATCCAGGAGTACCCGTCAGAATCTCCTTAGATCCAGGAGTGCCCATCAAAGTCTCCCCTGAGATCCAGGAGTAACCATCAGAGTCCTCCCTGAGATCCAGGAGTACCCATCAGAATCTCCTGAGATCCAGGAGTGGCCATCAGAGTCTCTCCTAAGATCCAGGAGAGCCCATCAAAGTCCCCCCTGAAATCCAGGATGACCCATCAAACCCCACCTGAGATCCAGGAGTAGCCATCAGAGTTCCCCCTGAGATCTAGGGGTGTCCCTCATATTCCCACCTGTGATCCAGGAGTACCCATCAGTGTTCCCCTTGAGATCCATAAGTTCCCATCAGAGTCTCCCAAGATCCAGAAGTGCCCATCAGAGTCCCACCTGAGATCCAGGAGTGCCCGACAAAGTCTCTCCTGAGATCCAGGAGTGCCCATCAGAGTATCTCCTGAGATCCAGGAGTACCCCTTAGAGTCCCTCCTGAGATCTAGGAGTGTCCCTCATATTCTTACCTGTGATCCAAGAGTACCCATCAGTGTTCCCCTCGAGATCCATGATTTCCCATCAGAGTCTCCCAAGATCCAGAAGTGCCCATCAGAGTCACAACTAAGATCCAGGAGTGCCCATTAAAGTCTCCCCTAAGAGCCAGGAGCTCCCATTAGAGCCCCACCTGAGATCCAGGAGTGCTCATCAAGGTCTCCCCTAAGAGCCAGGATTAACCCATAGAGTCGCCCCTGAGATCCAGGAGTGCCCATCAGAGTCCCCCCTGAGATCCAGGAGTACCCATCAGAGTCCCCCCTGAGATCCAGGAGTGCCCATCAGAGTCTGTCCTGAGATCCAGGAATGCCCATCAGAGTCTCTCCTGAGATCCAGGAGAGCCCATCAGAGTCTCCCCTAAGAGCCAGGAGCTCCCATAAGAGCCCCCCCTGAGATCCAGGAGTGCCCATCAAGGTCTCCCCCCAAGAGCCAGGAGTAACCCATAGAGCCGCCCCTGAGATCCAGGAGTTCCCATCAAAGTCCCCCCTGAGATCCAGGAGTACCCATCAGAGTCCCCCCTGAGATCCAGGAGTGCCCATCAGAGTCTGTCCTGAGATCCAGGAATGCCCATCAGAGTCTCTCCTGAGATCCAGGAGAGCCCATCAGAGTCTCCCCTAAGAGCCAGGAGCTCCCATTAGAGCCCCCCCTGAGATCCAGGAGTGCCCATCAAGGTCTCCCCCCAAGAGCCAGGAGTAACCCATAGAGCCACCCCTGAGATCCAGGAGTTCCCATCAAAGTCCCCCCTGAGATCCAGGAGTACCTATCAGAGTCTCTCCTGAGATCCAGGAGAGCCCATCAAAGTCCCCTAGAGATCGAGGAGTACCCAACAAACCCCACCTGAGATCCAGGTGTACCCCTTAGATTCCCTCCTGAGATCCAGCAGTGCCCATCAGAGTCTCTCCTGAGATCCAGGAGAGCCCATCAAAGTCCCCTAGAGATCTAGGAGTACCCAACAAACCCCACCTGAGATCCAGGAGTAGCAATCAGAATTCCCCCTGAGATCCAGGAGAGCCCATCAGAGACTTTCCTGAGACCCCAACTGTGACCTAGGAGTACCCATCAGAGTTCCCCTTGAGGTCAAGGAGTGCCCATCAGGGGGACTGAGGGAGGGTCATGGCTGGCAGTGGATGCTCCAGTCTCCATATTGCAGTACACAGGGTATTAAGTCACTGTGGGCCGGATAAAACTTTGTAGAGGGCCGGATGTGGCCCTGGGGCCATAGTTTGGAGACCCCTGCTTGGTCCCGATCATTCATCGTGGCAACTTCCATTGGCCTTGCGTATCCAATAGCAAATCTGAGCATATTTGGGAGGAGTCAACCTGACGGCAACATTATATTCTCTGGGCTCTCCGGACACTTCCACCCACTGGTGCCCAGAGAAGACCCCGATGACTTTCCTCTTCCAGCGGCCACCATGCCGCAATCTCCCATAAACCCCCGAGCCGCTGGCCCCGGGACGGGCATCACAGTGCTGGTACAGCAGATGCGTCGTCTGCTCCTGCACCCTGCACGATCGGTAGACCAGCTCCCCAGGCCGGTCGCTGTCAAATCCCGAGAAGTGGACGCGTCTTCCAGCAAGATCCCTCAACGGAGGAGAAGCCGCTAGGTCCATGTAAGGGCGCGGCTGTGCGCGCCGAAGTTCCAGCAAAGCGTAGTCGTAATCCATACTCAGTTCCGTCGGGGCCCCGATCCACGCTCGGGGTAACCGGGTGCTTTTCACGCGTACCCAACGCAGGACCGGCTGGGCTCCTGGCCTCAGGAAGCCAACGCTCAGCTTACGTGCTCCTTGGACGTAGTCCTGACCATCGTGGATGCAGTGAGCCGCCGTCAGGACGTGGCGTTCCGTCACCAGCACGCCGGTGCAACCCGTGGACACGCGGACGGCGGACGCAAAAGGGAAGTCCCTCAGAAACGGACGACTGATAGAAAAGCGAACGTCCGGTCCGTAAATCTGCCTCCGGGATCTCCTAGGCTTCGAATGTCTTCTCACCGATACCGTCGTCAGCAGCCGGCTGCCGTTGGGGTAGATGGTCTCGTAGTCGAGCTGATGGTCCTCATCGAATGTTTCCGGCTGAGACTCTCGCAGGACGCAGGGCCCTCGGCAGACCGTGGTGAACTCTGAGGTGCCATTGGCCGTGAAGTGAGACGGTGGTAAAGGGAGCGCCCGCCTGGCCGCCAGCTGGAGATCACCGATGGCGACCTGGAGGACCACCAAGCAAAGGAGCGCGATGGAGGAGAACCGGACCGTCCTCATAGTCCCTGCAGAGAAACAACAGGAAAACGGTAAATCGTACAGAAAATCGATCGCCAAAACCTCACAATCGCTCAAAAGTCATCATTACAATGGATAGAAACCCACATTGTGAGCGCCAAATGCCTCCGCAAACCCAGATATTACCTGATAGAAGTAGACGTGACATCATCACCATATGTAGCCTGTGCAGAGGGCGGAGCTGTGGGAGGGGCCACAGCAGGCCCCACCGGCTACAGGTAAACTACAGGAGGGGGCGGAGACAAGACAAGTCACCTTGCAAAAGGAAAGAGCAGAGCTGTGGGAGGGGACCTGCAGGCTCCACCCATTATGGAAAACTACAGGAGGGGGCGGAGAGAAGTACGCACAAAGAACATTCAACCAGAGGAAGAAACACACTAAGAACATTCGACTTAGATGAAGACACACCAAGAACATTCGACCAGAGGAGGAAACACACTAAGAGCATTCGAACAGAGGAGAAAACACACCAAGAACATTCGACCAAAAGAGAAGACACACTAAGAGCATTCGAACAGAGGAGAAAACACACCAAGAATATTCAACCAGAGGAGAAAACACACCAAAAACATTCAAACAGAGGAGAAAACACACTAAGAACATTCGACCAGAGGAGAAAAACACACTAAGAACATTCGACCAGAGAAGACAAACTAAAAACATTCGACCAGGGGAGAAGACACACCAAGAACATTCGACCAGAGAAGACACACTAAAAACATTCGACCGGAGGAGAAGACACACCAAGAACATTCGACCAGAGGAGAAGACACACCAAAAACATTCTACCAGAAGAAAGGACACACTAAGAACATTCGACCAGAGGAGAAGACGCACCAAGAACACTCGACCAGAGGAAATTGACACACTAAGAACATTTGACCATAGGAGAAAATACACTAAAGAACATTCGACCAGAGGAGAAAACACACTAAAACATTCGACCAGAGGAGAAAACACACTAAGAACATTCGACCAGAGGAGAAGACACACTAAAAAACATTCGACCAGAGGAGGAAAACACACTAAGAACATTCGACCAGAGGAGAAGACACACTAAAAAAAAACATTCGACCAGAGGAGAAGACACACCAAGAACATTCAAACAAAAGAGAAGACACACCAAGAACATTCGACCAGAGGAGAAAACACACCAAAACATTCGACCAGAGGAGAAAACACACTAAGAACATTCGAGCACATACACCAAGAAACATTTGACCAGGAGAATAGACACACTAAGAACATTCACCAGAGGAGGAAACAACTAAGAACATTCGACCAGAGGAGAAAACACTAAGAACATTCGACCAGAGAAGACAAACACCTAAAACATTCGACCAGGGGAGAAGACACACAAGAAAGAACATTCGACCAGAGAAGACACACTAAAAAACATTCGACCGGAGGAGAAGACACACCAAGAACATTCGACCAGAGGAGAAGACACACCAAAAACATTCTACCAGAAGAAAGGACACACTAAGAACATTCGACCAGAGGAGAAGACGCACCAAGAACACGACCAGAGGAAATTGACACACTAAGAACATTTGACCATAGGAGAAAAATACACTAAAGAACATTCGACCAGAGGAGAAAAACACACTAAAACATTCGACCAGAGGAGAAAACACACTAAGAACATTCGACCAGAGGAGAAGACACACTAAAAAACATTCGACCAGAGGAGAAAACACACCAAGAACATTCGACCAGAGGAGAAGACACACTTTTCGACACCCAAGAACATTCAAACAAAAGAGAAGACACACCAAGAACATTCGACCAGAGGAGAAAACACACCAAGAACATTCGACCAGAGAGAAAACACACTAAGGACATTCGATCAGAGAAGGAAACATGCTAAAAAAACATTTGAGCAATGGAGAACATACACCAAGAACATTTGACCAGGAGAATAGACACACTAAGAACATTCAACCAGAGGAGGAAATACACTAAGAACATTTGACCAGAGGAGGACACACCCCAGGAGTATTCGACTAATGGAGAACATACACTATGAACATTCGACCAGAAGAATAGACACACTAAGAACAGTCAACCAGATGAGAAACCACACTAAAATCATTCGACTAGAGGAGAAGACACACCAAGAACATTCGACCAGAGGAGAAAACACACCAAGAACATTCGACCAGAGGAGAAAACACACAAGAACATTTGACCAGAAAAGAAAATTTACTAAGAACATTCGACCAGAGATGAAGACACACAAGAGAACATTCGACCAGAGGAGGAAACACACTAAGAACATTCGAGCAGAGGAGGAAAAACACACTAAGAACATTCGAGCAGAGGAGGAAACACACTAAGACATTCGAGCAGAGAAGACACACCAAGAACATTCAAACAAAAAGAGAAGACACACCAAGAACATTCGACAGAGGAGGAGAAAACACACCAAGGACATTCGACGAGAGGAGAAAACACACTAAGGACATTCGATCAGAGAAGGAAACATGCTAAAAACATTCAAGCAATGGAGAACATACCCAATGAACATTCGACCAGGAGAATAGACACACTAAGAACATTCAACCAGAGGAGGAAATACACTAAGAACATTTGACCAGAGGAGGACACACCCCAGGAGTATTCGACTAATGGAGAACATACACCATGAACATTCGACCAGAAGAATAGACACACTAAAAACAGTCAACCAGATGAGAAACCACACTAAAATCATTCGAGAGGAGAAGACACACCAAGAACATTCGACCAGAGGAGAAAACACACCAAGAACATTCGACCAGAGGAGAAAAAACACTTAGAACATTTGACCAGAAAAGAAAATTTACTAAGAACATTCGACCAGAGATGAAGACACACAGAGAACATTCGACCAGAGGAGGAAACACACTAAGAACATTCGAGCAGAGGAGGAAAACACACTAAGAACATTCGAGCAGAGGAGGAAACACACTAAGAACATTCGAGCAGAGGAGGAAACACACTAAGAACATTCAAACAAAAGAGACACACAACCAAGAACATTCGACCAGAGGAGAAAACACACCAAGACATTCGACGAGAGGAGAAAAACACACTAAGGACATTCGATCAGAGAAGGAAACATGCTAAAAAACATTCGAGCAATGGAGAACATACCCAATGAACATTCGACCAGGAGAATAGACACACTAAGAACATTCAACCAGAGGAGGAAATACACTAAGAACATTTGACCAGAGGAGGACACACCCCAGGAGTATTCGACTAATGGAGAACATACACCATGAACATTCGACCAGAAGAATAGACACACTAAAAAAACAGTCAACCAGATGAGAAACCACACTAAAATCATTCGACCAGAGGAGAAGACACACCAAGAACATTCGACCAGAGGAGAAAACACACTTAGAACATTTGACCAGAAAAGAAAATTTACTAAGAACATTCGACCAGAGATGAAGACACACAGAGAACATTCGACCAGAGGAGGAAACACACTAAGAACATTCGACCAGAGGAGGAAAACACACTAAGAACATTCGAGCAGAGGAGGAAACACACTAAGAACATTCGAGCAGAGGAGAAGACACACAAGAACATTCAAGCAGAGGAGAAGACACACCAAGAACATTCAAGCAGAGGAGAAGACACACCAAGAACATTCGAGCAGAGGAAAGACACACTAAGAACATTCGAGCAGAGGAGAAGACACACAAGAACATTCGAGCAGAGGAGAAGACACACCAAGAACATTCGAGCAGAGGAGAAGAACACCAAGAACATTCGAGCAGAGGAGAAGACACACTAAGAACATTCGAGCAGAGGAGAAGACACACTAAGAACATTCGAGCAGAGGAGAAGACACACCAAGAACATTCGAGCAGAGAAGACACACCAAGAACATTCAAGCAGAGGAGAAGACACACCAAGAACATTCGAGCAGAGAAGACACACCAAGAGCAGAGGAGAAGACACACCAAGAACATTCGAGCAGAGAAGACACACCAAGAACATTCGAGCAGAGGAGAAGACACACCAAGAACATTCGAGCAGAGGAGAAGACAGAACATTCGGAGAAGAAGACACACCAAGAACATTCGAGCAGAGGAGAAGACACACCAAGAACATTCGAGCAGAGAAGAACACCAAGAACATTCGAGCAGAGGAGAAGACATACCAAGGACATTCGACCAGAGGGGTCCTCCTCTAAGTCGCTCCGATTCGATCCATCCCTTCCATGCAGACTCTGGCTGTGCGCAGGACGCCCATCACCCATGATGGGGAATCAAATTCCAGGGAAATCGGAGGCCGCAGGCGACAGGCGACCCGGAGAGCGAAGCGATCGATGATGCCTGGGAGCGATCTCCGTCTCCAGGAATGTGCGTTTCTGCGATAAGTCGTTTGGCTTTAGGAGAATTCTTTCATCTCCTGGAAGAGGAACATTTCTGAAGAATCGTTCGTATCATCCACCCAGATCTACAGAACGATCGCTCTCTGCTGGACCGCGGTGCTTTTCCGCCCATTTTTCGCACATCCCTGAGCGTCACGCACACAGAAGAGAAGTCGATTTCAGATGTATGACGACAGCATCGAGCGTCTGCTAAAGTGCAGCGCATTTCTGGCGCGGAGAGCAGCCGTTGGAATGACGCTTTTCCCAAAAAAGATTGGTGACAATGCACAAAGATCTGAACGCAGCCCTACACACCTGCCGA